CACATTTTATAATAAGATATGAATTAATAGGTATGACTGGCACGAAGGCCATTAGAAAAATTAAGCACCTCGAGAATACTGGAAGATTCCAATTCTCGTCATTGGAGTTTTTGAAATGATTATTTAGTAAAATGAAAAATTAAAAAAATAATAAAAATTAAGGGGCATAAAAGGACTTGAACTTGGATTGTAAATGATAACAAACAAGTGTATTGTCATTATGCCAACACCTAAAGATATAAATTAAGTTTTCTTTTTTAAAATACAAATCTTCTATTTTTTTAAAAAATTTTATTTTAAACATTTTTTTAATGAAATCCTTTTAAAGATAAACAATTTTCAAACCATTTGAAATTAAATTCATTTTATCTTAAAACAAAATTTAATTTAAAAAAAATCTATTTTTGTTTTAAAACATAGTCCTATTTTTTAAAAAAACCTTACCTTTTAGATATTTTAATTTTAAGACTTTTCTTGAAAAAAAAAATTATTTTTACTCATTTACTAATTTAAAGACATTTATTTGAAGAAAAAAAACCAAAACAAGTTCTTTCGCCATCATTCAAAAAGAAATTTAGAAAGAAAAAAAAAACAAAACAAAACAAAAATAAAACTTTAGAATAAACTTTTATTTTAAAATTCACCTTGTTACATTTAAAAAAAATTAAAAAAAAAAAATTTACTCTTCTATCTTTTTTAAGAAATTTATTTAAAAAACTTTCGGTTTATTTTTAAAAGACCTTTTATTTTTGTGCTTTATTTGCATTTTAATAAACAAGTTTAAAACTTAAAATAAAATCATCTTTTATATACCTTATTTAAAATAAAATCTTTCCCTTTCTTGAAAAAGGATTTCTCTTTCAAAACCCACTTTAGCCAGAAAATGGGTAGCCCAAAAGATGAACGGCTGTGCCGAAGTCCTATCGTGCCGGTGTCGGGGTTCTCTGGTTTTCTATGCCGCCGATAGGGCTGCCGGTGTCGGAGGCTTTGCCGTCGTGCTACCGGAGTCTCGATCGTCGGAAGCTACGGGTGTCGCCAAAATGGGCCGGCAAGGGTCGTCGCCGGGGGATTGCGCCGTCGCTCGTCACCTACCAGGAATGTGTCGCCTTTCGTGGGTGGTGTAGATCTGGTGTCGCCGGAGGAATAGCTCGCGTCAAGGCGTCACCGGCCGTCGGGGTTTTGAGAGGAGCTGCAGTTACACAACCTGCAACYCACGTTGCYGCCRTGGGAAGTTGATGGGTCGCYGGTGCCTRGGATATACTCGTCGGGATGTGAATTTGGGAGAGGGGTTTGAGTGTGGGAAGGAGGAAGAAGACCAAGGAAGAAGATGAGTTCKAGAGAGAGAAAGAGGGCAAAGAGAGCAAAGAAAAAATAAAAAGGAAAAGGAAAATGGGTCTTTGAAGAGAGAGAAAAAGTAATAAACTCTAATTTTTGYTGTTTGTTTTCTACYGGTGTGTCCMTGTTCTCTGTACTGCTTCTCCTCCTTAAATACCAGGAAAAAGAATCCAACGGTAATATTGTAGTCAAAAAAGCTTAGAGAAAATAGGGGGAGAAGAAAGCCACGTAACATTTTGACAGAGAGAAAAGATAACAAACTTGAAAACTTATTTCCCTTTTTTAAAATTAAAAAAAATCTTTGTATTTAAAACACATTCTTTATTTAAACGTAAATCTTTATTTATTTATTTATTTATTATTTTGATTATAAAACAAATTCTTTTGAAACAGAATCTTATCCAGACCAATTTTCAAAATAAATCTAACATTTTTTAGTTTAAGTTAATTTAAATTTTATCTTAAAACTAATAATAAACTAAAATGATGTTATTTTTAACAAAAACCATTAAAATCAAACTTAATTAAATAATAATAACAAAATAAATATAAAATATAATAAGCCGGACCAAATACGGTATCTACACCCTCTTTGTCCCATCATGACATAGTTTATTGATATGTCATTATTATCCTCAGATACTTGATCTTTCTCAGTATGTTTATGAGTAGTCATGTTTAAGATTTCTTCTGAAATATCCATATTCTCAATTGAGTCATTTTGATTATTGACTACATACCATAGCATATGTTAAAATTTATACTAATTAACACTATTTAAGTTAATGAATGAAAGGTATTTTTTTATACATTATATTTGCAATTACATATTTTGACACGAATATTTTTAAAACTGAAGTTACCCACTTGAAGTTTTAAAAAAATCCCCCAAAAAATACTATTTACCTGTATTAAAATTCCATTAGCCTTTTCTAAAATAAAGCTAATGACTTGTATAAACTTATAGCTCTACAATGTGATGTGTGATTGAGAATTTTTGGGTGCCAAATAAAGAAGCTTGGTGAGCCTTGGAAGATGTAGTCATGGTAAGATCCATGGTTGAACTCTATCGACAGCAGATAAGCAGTGTGCTCCAGAGAAGATGAGTTGGTTTTGGATAGAAATTGGACGGATGGATGACTAATTGAGGGGAGGCTTAGTGGTAATTTGTTCGAGGTGAGGATTGTAAACAGATGAATAACTATATTCCAGCAAGATACAAGTGGTATCTCGTTCTAGGGGAGGATTGTTGGAATTTCAAGGAGGATAAACAAAGTCTCACATTGGTTAGAGAAGAGATTGACCCATGGTATATAGATGAGGACAATTATCTCCATGTATATCCTCAACCAAAATGTCGTATGTTCAAATCTCCACCAAAAAGCCTACGAGACTTGTTATATATATATAGGGAGAAAATATATATCAAACTAAACAACCGAAGAGAGGAAAGAGAACCGAAGAAGCAGCGGACCTGAAGAGAGGTAAGTGGGTCAGGGTCTAGTGGCGCAGGCCGACCATAACCGACCCGGGGTCAGCGTCGATCAGTGCTCTCCAGTGTGACCCAACCCCCGTGCAAGCTCGGTCCGAGTCGACTTGGCCTCGTCCTGAATGCAGCATGATGTCCACTCCGTTTAAGATCTCCTGAGTGCATAAGGATTTAACTTAGGTAAACCCTAAAGGGATTAGGGTTCGACTGATGTAAATCCTGAAGGGATTAGGATTCGACCTCTATAAATACGACGGTAAGCTAAACCTTAGAGGTATGCCTAAAAACCCTACTCTCTGTACCCGCATTAGAAAAGAAGGTTGAAGGAATGCACCAGAGCATGTCCCTGCTTCTGCAAAAGCTCGAGCAACATAAGGTGGAACAACCAGCGCTTGTTCGCGATCCACAAAAGGGTAAAGCTCCGATGATTGAAGGAGTTGGGGAGAAAACTAGCTATGCACGGAGCAAACTGAAGATAAAAGGAAACGACAAACCCCGAACCAACATCCTCGGTCGGTCAGCTCGACACGCAGCTGTACGACAATAGAGGTCTGTCGCGCCCAACGAAAACAAGAGCAACCCAGTTGATCGAGCCGGCCTCGGGCATACTACTGTCGACAGAAGAAAACCATCCAGTCGAACCGTGCGATCAGAGATACAATGAGGAGGACACCAAGACAAGAAATTTGGTCTCAAGGAACTGATAGACCAGGTAGACTCTCCCTTTACGGAGAAAATAATGAAGGAAAAAGCTCCTCCGAAGTTCAAGCTACCTACCATCACACAAAACGACAGTTCGACATATCCCATTGATCACCTCGATGCATACCGAGAATGGACAGATATTTACGACATAACGGAATCCTTTAGATGTAGAGTGTTTTCTTTCACTCTGGCTGGCTCGGCACGCGTCTGGTTTTGACCGTTGAAAAGAAAGTTGATTTCAAGCTTCAAGGAATTGGCGAGGGCATTTGTCACCCAATTTGTCGGAGGACGGATTAGAAGCAAACCAGTAGCATACCTACTGACTATCAAGCAAAAGGCGACAGTAGCCTCAAAGACTATGTAGCTCGGTTCAATGAAGAGAAGCTACAAGTGGATGGTCTGACAGATGTAGTGGCACTGCTGGCCTTTGTATCCGATGTGAAAGATGAGCGATTGGTATTTTATTTTAGGAAGAGAACTCCAGGCACTTTTATTTTCTTTTAGGAAGAGAATTCCAAACACTTTCTCGGAGGCTTTAAGCCGAGCCCAGAAGTACATGAGTGCTGGAGAATTAATTCACTCAGGGCGTGACCCTGAACGAGAACGGGCGGATTATAACGCAAAGAGAGAGAGGCCTGGAGAAAACCGACATGGATCAAGCTAGGAGAGGTTAGATAGTGGACATGGTCGACTAGTCCAGCAGGATCCTCAATGAAAATTTGAAAAATACACTTCAATAATGGTCTCACTCGAACAGGTTTTGATGGAAATCAAAGACGAGAGACTACTCAAGTGACCTGACAGGGTAAAAGCATCATCCAGTAAAAGGAGTAGAGGAAGGTATTGTTTATTACATAGAGATCATGGCCACACGACACATGACTGTCTCGACCTCAAAGAAGAAATAGAAGACCTCATTTGAAGAGGTTACCTCACGGAATATTTTTTATGAACAAATAATTTTAACACAAAATTATTCAATGAATTAGAGATATATTTCAAGCACCCTAATTAATTAATTATAACGTAGGGATTCACCATAAACATGAAGAACAAATTAGTGCAATTAATTTATGCAAATTATGATAACGAAAATTAATTGCAAAAATTAAATAGAAAATGGTTAAAGAAAATGACACCGAAAGTTATATTGGTTCAGCAAAACTGTCTACTCCACTCCCCAAGCTCCTCTTGAATATTCTATTGAAGAAAACGACTTTTTCCATGGCTTAGAGTCCAACCGGTACAATGTTCTTTCTCCACGAGCAATAACAAACCCCATCTTTTCCACGATTCAGGATCAAACCGTTACAATGCTCTTTTTCGGACTCAAGAGCTAACCCTTACTGTAGAATTGGAAATTTGAGAACACACTTGCAAACTCCCTTGAAGAGTGGATATAAACTTTTATTTTATTTTATAATAGGGGTAAAGACCCTTTCTTTATTTCGATATATATTATATAGTTTCATGAAAGTTCAAGAACATACACCCGTTCCAAGAGATACATACATTTGTAACTCTTCTTCCTCTCAATCTTTAAATTGCTTTTGAAGAGCATCAATGACGTGCTTGTCAACTTGGAAGGCCTTCATAAGAACATCAATGGAGATTGGAGGATCAGATCCAAACACAGCATTAGCAATGGTGATAACACCTGGGTTTTGGCTGCTGAGTCCAGCGAAGGCAAGAGCTGGGCCATGACCAACATTGAACTGGAAGTGGATGAGACCAATGGGAAACACAAACACATCTCCTTTGTGAAGCACTTTGGTGAAGAGTTTGTTGGGGTTGGAGGTCACAAAACCGACGAGGAGAGTGCCTTCGACGACAACGAGAATTTCAGTGCCTCGTGGGTGGGTGTGGGGTGGGTTAAGCCCATATGGAGCATAGTCCAGCCGAGCCAAAGAGATGCCAAGAGTGTTGAGTCCAGGGAGTAGGTCAACATTTACTAGAGTCACATTGGAGCCCTGTTTGTTCATTGTGTTTCCAGGAATGTTAAGTCCTCGAAAAACAAAGTCTTCAGCTTTCACAAGCTTTGGGTCCTTGCAGAACTTCCCATTCACAAACACTGAATTCCACCAAAAACAAAAGATAAAAAAGGTGAAATAATAAATACATAAATAAGGCTCTGTTTGATAAGATTCGAATAAGATTGGTTCTTTAGATTTATGTGTGAATGTAGGTGGAAACCAATTATGCATTCGTGGTCTTATGTTTTATACATTTGTACACATGAAGATGAAATGCACATTTACGTGAGGTTTCAAGTAAATGGGAAAAAATTACCTTTGTCGTAGTTTAATAACAAAGGCCCAATTCTAGCATATTTCGGTAGATATCACACTATTATTATCATTATCAATATAATTACTGCCCTTAGATATATTTTTGTATGACAATAGTTAAAATTTGTACAATACCATTTCCTCCCACCCTCCTGAACAAAAAGAAAAAGAAAAAGAAAAAGAAAGTTGAAGTTTTTTAATTCGACAGTGATTCACAATGAGAACAAGAGACAAGAAACAATAACATGAAAGATATCAATATGGTTAGAAGTTACCAGCAGATTTGTAGTCCATGGGTTCATCAATTGCTACACAGAAGTCTTGAAGAGGGCTGGGATCATAACAAGAAACAAAGATTGCTGCCTGTAAAACAAGGAGGAAGATGGCCGAAGAAGAAAACCCAATAAAACCCTTCATAGTTAATTATTTGTATATTGAGAGAACACCAAGTTTATGTATTTGATGCAAATCTTGTCATTAGTTCAACTCTATTTATAGATGGATGGACTTGGATTTAAAGTACTGTTGTTAGTACTTAACATTTCAACAACAGAAATTTCTTCAACCATCCCTTTGGAATTTTACAATAATATTTCTTTGCTTTATAAGATCCAAATTCAAATGAGGAGACATTTAAATATAGAGATATAATATTGGGGAATAAGTTAAAATTGTCGACAATATTTCATGTTGGCATGTATTATAAAATAGGGTATTAAATTCTCAAAAGGTGAATAGACATTTTTATTATATCATAAGAAATTTGATGAAACACAATAAAATAGCAACAAAGGTCACAAATATAGAAAAAAATATTGATAATAAGAATTTTAATTTGTTTAGAAAGTTTAAAATGTTTGTTTATTAGTTAAATTTTTTTATAAATTTTATGAAACTTATGATTTTTTTCCATAAATATATTCATTGACATTTACATTTTATTGATATTCTTATTGTCACTTCAACATCGAAATTTTAAACATTAATCAATACGTTTGCCAATATATATATAAAAATATTCATGAGATTCCATCTCAAAATCAATTTTCAATGTGGGATTATTTATATGCTACCTCAAGATGGTGGTTTTTCAGATCTCATTTTTGGACCAGATACTCATTCGAGTTTATTAGGCTCTGAAGCTATATCAATATTCATGAGATTCCATCTCTAAACAAATTGATAACAAGAGTACCAAACTTATATTATTAGCCATTATTAGGTTTATTATCTTTTCAACTTCTTAACAAAAATATGTCATTTTTAATATTTTAATTACATATCTTGAGCTGGTGCGTAGTTATATAAATGAATTAGACATCGTTCCATTTTGTTTTGAGGTTCTTTTAAGTTTTAGAGATGTTTTTGGATTGGACAATTTTTAAATTTTTAGAAATTTTCGACAAAACAAAATTAATGAAAATATAGTGGTTTAAAATTTATTTGGTGTGTAATTGGAGGAAAAAAATATTAAAATTGAGTTTCGAATAGGTATTATAAGTTTTTTTTTTACTTCGAATAGGTATTATAGTTGATTAATAGTAATACTTAAAATTTGAAATTTATCAAAATCAACTAAAACCATTGGGTAAGGAATTGTTTTAATAATTAAAATTCAAGTTATCCAAATTAAACTAACTTAGCAATTAAGTAAGTAAAATTTAGTAATATAAACGGAGAGAAGTTATGCCCAACTTCTATTTTCTTTTTTCTTTTTTCTTTTTTAATAATTAACGTGGTTTACAATCTTGAGTGGGAAGAGACGGACTTTCTTCTCTCAATCCATATCCACCCCTCTTCCTTTCAGTTCACTTCTTTTTTAGTTCTTGTAACATATTTGTTAATTTCACTTATTTTCTTATTAAGATTCAATCATAAACATTAAATAAGGAAATTAAATTCAAGATCGAACTAACTAGCTTCTCTCTCCCGACTTTAGGATAAAGTAAATGTAAGAGATAAGTTACATTTATATAGTTATACGTGTGGTTTAAATTTTGGTTCGGTTCTTACATGATACAGTGACATGTCTATAACTTTATGTGGGGATTTAAATCTGTATAAAAATAATTTTGAACATACTTACATATATATATATATATGTTTCTGTTTGATATTATTCCTAATTTTTAAAAAATCTCAAATAGGCTTTTAAACTTTTAATTTTGTGTTTATTAGGCCATTTAACTTTAAAAATAGTATAATAGGTTATGATATAATAAACCTATTAAAAATTTGGACACTCTATTGGATTTAAAATTGAAAGTTCGAAGATCTACTAGACATTATTGTTAAATTTCAGAACCTATTAACCAGATCACACAACTCTAAAAACTGGTAGAACAAACTCATAATTAACAAGTTTGGTAAATAGAAGCATTATTTGATTTTTTTTATACATCTTTAGAAGAAAGAGAATTAAACTTAATGAGGATAATTATTTTCATTCTTACCAATATTTGAGAGATAGATTTAAATTATTAAAAATATATATATGACCTGCAAGGTATCTATACTTACTATAAACGGGGCTACAGAGAAGAATCTTTGCGTTCCATTTTTGGCCCCCACTTTTTAATACATACCCGTTTTATCCCTAAAACTCCTAAGGGACATGACTATTCGAAGATGTCTGTTGATATAAATTAATCTAAAAGACATGGCTGTTTGGTAAAGCGACGATGCATTCATCCACGTATAGGTGTGATTGCAAACCACCTATAAAAGAAACCTATGTATTCTTTTATTTTGCCCAAAATTCATGTTTGAGAAAGTGTAAAACTTCGAATTGTGTGGGGCCATTGGAGAAGAAACTGACAATCCGAGTCTATATGGACCGCCACAATAGGGGTGGTCAAAATAGGGAAGGACCTTCCCTAACTGAAGATTTTTGCCTTCCATTTTTGTCCCCCATTTTTTAACATATACCCATTTTATCCCTGAAACTCTTACGGGACACGACTATTAAAATGTTTGTTGAGAAAAATTAATCTAAAAGAGATGCGATTGTTCGATAAAGCAACGATTCATCCATCCACGTATAGGTATGATTGCAAACCACCTATAAAAGAAAATAAACCTATGTATTTTTTTATTTTGCCCAAAACTCATGTTCGAGACACTGTAAAACTTCCTTAAGAATTGTGTGGCTTGGACAAAAACAGGTGGTGCAAGTGATTGATAATGATAAAAAAAAAAAAATTAAAGTAATGAGAGATGTGAAAATTTGAGACCTCCATCAGTGACGATGAAGGCTACGTTGGCATCATATATGCATGATTGGAGGTTTACTTTTTCTAATTGTTGATCAATTATATATATATATGGACTTGAGCCTCTAATGTCCTATTTTAAATGGCTAAGGGTGCTTCGGTTCAATTTCCTTTGGTTTGCATTGGTCTAAAAGATAAGTATTTTATTTTCATATTCAAAAGTTATTAAATAAGTTTTTAGATCATATTCCTTCGTGAAAGATCTTTTCATTTATTAAAAAGCGCGTACATCACCAAAAAACTGATACCTTATATTTAAACGGATAATGCAATAAATCTATAGAATAAAAAAATAGAATTACCTCATTCAATCATTTAATAACAACTCCATGATTCACATGATTTAAAAATGAAAAACTACTTTTTAATGGATGAAGAAAAAACTTTATTGTATAATATGAACATATTTTTGAGTTGTCTATGTATGTTTCACTTAATTACAAATTTTGACCTGTATACATTTTTGTGTTAGAAAATCAATAATTATATTAAATAATTACTTAATCTAAAATAATTGTCTTAAAAAAATATTTTCTAACTTTTATTTATTTGTTATATAATAATATTCTAATTATTATGTAATTACTTTTATCAATATTTTTTTAAGAATTCTTAGTTTTATATATATATATATTCATTCAAAAGGTAAAGTTTCACCATTCCAAAATTTCTTATCCATGTGCATTGCACGTGAATCTAACTAGTCTGTATAAAAATTATATTAAGTCTAAATTGTTTATTTTAAATGAAAAAAATGTTTTTATATACAATAAAAAATTATATATTAAATACCACTTTTAAAGAGTTTTGTTGAATTCCTTAAACTCTGTAAAATATAAATTAAGAACAATCCAATTTCAAAAATCTATATACAATAAAAATTTATGTATTAAATACCAATTTTTAAGAGTTTTGTTGAATTCCTTAAACTCCGTAAAATTTAAATGAAAAATTATATAAATTAAGAACAATCGAATTTCAAAAAGTATAGGATTTATAGAGAAGAAAACAAATATTGGTACAATAATTTATCGAAAAAAATATCACATATATATAACCGTAACGTATGAAATGAAAATAAAGAGACACTACAAGAAAAATGAGTTTTAGAGACACGTAAAATGTTGCTGAAAACCCAATTTTGTTGCTAAAAGTTTCAGCGACGAGACCTTGTTCGTCGCTAAGGACGTCGCATATAACTCGTCGTTTAAAGTTTCAGCAACATCTTCCACTGTCGCTGAAAAAAATGAAATTTTCAGCAACAAAATTGAATGTCACTGAAAACTAGTTCAAGAATAGGCAATATCCTGTTTTCTTTCCAATTTCGCCTTCTATTTTGCTCAATTTTTGTGTTTTAAAACTACAAATATATAAAACGTCGCTGAAAAGTATTTTTAATAGTAAAAAATACATAAGATAGATTCTCCAAATGTGTAACATCCTATTATAACAAAAAAGTACTTTCTAGCTACAAATAACAATTTGTCTTATAATTGATTCAATTACATATAACAAAAGAAAACATCTTGTTTTGTGCACGAAGTTCTTCTTCTGAATGATCCAGCACAGCCGCTTTTGATGACATAGTATATCCTGTAAAAAATTAACAACACAACTTATTTAACATGAAAATATAATCAAAAGAGTTTTTTGACCTACTAAACTACACACCAACTTACTAAATAATGAAAAACGTAGTGAACAACACTAAACCAATCAACAAAAAATAATCTATTAGAACTCCAAAATCATAGTTTATAATCCAAACAACTATTAAATCATTTATAAAATAAACAAAGTTGCAACACTACAAGAGAAATAGTCAAGACATATAATTTCAGTGAAAATTACTTTTAGCGACATATAGTTCATCACGTCGCTGAAAATAATATTCAGCGACACTGTATGTTGACAATGTCGCTGAAAGTATATTTTAGTGACATTATTGATAATATGTCGCTAAAAATGTGTCGCTGAAAGCTCCGTTTCTTGGAGTGAGACAACAAATGTAACGACCCGACTTTTTGAGACTTAAACTTCTAAGAGACGTTACTATATACATGCTTTCAATATTTTAAAAGCATGATAATAAATAAAATAAAATACAATCTCATAACATAACTTTATAAAATAAAATGTTAAAAAAAAACTTTATTTGAGATCCCATAAA